CGCTCTATCATTCAGATATCAGATTGTGCGGTTGGGTACTGGTACAGATTGATAGATGTCAGCGGGCGGAGCGGTCGGATGATAGATGATGACCACGGAACATTATCCACTATTGAATATTTGCTCTTGAACATTTTGAGAGAGGAGTGGGAGAGGAGTGGAAAAGGGAACAGGGCATGTCTGGATTTTTCTTCTCGGTACTTCTTATCAACGTGTTGTCGTTTTGCTAAAGATACTAGGTAGAGGAATGAATCGGTATAGTATTATAAGTAGTCATGTGATATCGATCCCCCCCCAATTTTGTTCGTCAATGCGTGCATGATATGATGCTGCTGAGTATACATCTTATCAAGTCCCCCCTTTTTAATATGAAATAGAGAATCATTCTCGAGTTTTTAATAGTAAGACACCACTCGTTTTTTTGTAGGATTCCCTTTCAAAACCTCCTCATCTTTTTTCCGAACCAAACTTCTTGCCAGTCGTTCTCTGAATTTAAGATCTTGGGTTTCTAGGTATCTGAGTCCATTCTGGTTACTATATAGATGCACACGCTGTTGTATTTTGAGGGCATTCAATTGGGTCCCTCGTCTCAATATTCCTGAATCACAGCGAAGATGTTTTCATCACCAAAACGAGTTCACCATATTTAACGCGAACTCGTCGGGAACATCGGGTTGTGAATAGAATAAATGATACGCCTGATTAGATTAATGAGAGAAGATGTCAGACGGTGAGGTGAGTATTGAGCTCACAGTTCTTTGTTCAATCGTCATGTCCGAAATAGATGGATTAAAACTATTATTGCAATGTGGATTTGTTTGTTAATAAGTATGTTGTTTGATTAATTGCGATGAGCAATATGGCTGGAGGAATCGTTTGATTCTCCAGTATCAAAGTCGGGATCGGTGTTTACTTATTGTACAGTTTTGGGATGGTGGTATATATGAAATGCATCATATGATGAGTATGGAGGATCAACTAACTGTTTTCGATCGTGTGCTTCATTTATTCGCTCATTTTGGATATGTAAGTACATAGCTATCATACATACGATGGCGACCTGACAAGTAAATCCATGCTATGCGTCAATTTAGGACTAGAGGTTAAGGAAGGGAGACATATAGATCGATGCCAATCTACGAAACAGTGATTAGAACCCCATGTCTTCAGTTATACTTTTGAAAAGTGAACTTATTACGTGCTGGATTTCAAATTTCCTGAATTAATCTTTAGAGACTCAAAGATCCTTCTAGTTCATTGCTGTTGGGGGCGACAATAGTAAAAAAAGATATCTTGAAAATGTAATTACGTGCAGTAGGTTTAATCTTCCCCCTTCGTTGCGTCCTGTATACACAATAACCTTCCATCCTTATGTATGTAATATATCGATATTTTTGTGCTTGTTGCTGAATTCAGAACACTCACTTCTGTTATCTTGAATATATAGATGAGAGGGATTTTAGGGATAATTTCGCTTTCTGTTTGGAGGAAGGGGGGAATAGGTATTATTACTCCCCAAGGCAGTTAAGAGATGCAGCTGGATGACTCTTTGATGTTGAAGAATGCTAGCATAGGATCAAGAGCTAGTGCGTTCAAACAAACACAAATATGAAGATCAGAACAACAACAGTCATCACTCATATCGAGTGTTGAATCACTCACAACAAACTAGATTTATCTGGCATTTTCTCATGCAGGTTGGTGATTCTTTTCTGATACCTTACTTTTGATAATTCGTACAGTATTTATATATAAAGACAAGCATTTGCTATTGGCTATACAACGCACAGTCGTAAAACGATGAGCAGATAGTGGCTACTTATGAGGGTTTCTGTGATAACCCCGAGAAACAAAATACAAAGCCAAATTGCATTCGTACACCTCCCATCTTTCTCCCTCCAAACCCCTCCCAATGCCCCCTCAGAATCCTGTAATAACCCTCTCAAACCTGGGTACATCCCTTCTAAACTTCTCCGGCTCATCCCTCGCTCCATTCTTCCAATACTCATACTCCATCCATACATTCTCTGGCATCTGTTCCTCCGTCGCCTTCAGCCAGTTACCTAGCTCAGGTGCAAGCGGTACAACTCCCGTCTCCAACACATATTCGTCCCAGAGTTTGATCAACTCTTTCAATTTCTCCGGTTGTGCATCAGCCAAATCATGTATTTCTCCAGGATCAACAGAAAGATCATACAATTGCCATTTCTCGGTTCCCTTGGGCTTGGGTATAAATACAATTTTCCAAGACCCTTTACGGAGAGCAGCTCGGCCGCAGGTTTCCCAGCCGGAGATAAAATCTTCGGCGTGGATACGGGGGGATGTGCCGGATATGAATGGAAGCATAGATTTGCCACGCATATGTACTATTTCTCGTCCTTGATATGTGGGTGCTGGGTGCTGGGTTTCGGCCATTTCGAGGATAGTGGGCGCGAGGTCCATTACGGTGGCGAAGTTGTGTGTTATACTATTGGAAATGTGTGTATTGATATTTGAGGGGAATTGAGCAACGAATGGAATTCGAACACCGCCTTCGGTGGTATAGGCTTTGTAAAGACGACTGGGTGCTGTGGCAGCTTGTGCCCAGCGTGGTCCGTACCAGATGAAACTATCTCCGTTCCCGAGATTCTCTAAACTATTGTTATAGTATTTTTGTAAGTGTTGAATCATGCTTCCTTGGACAATAGGATAAGCTTCATAAGCAGCACCTTCAGCACCATTGTCTGACATGAAACATATGAAAGTGTTATCGAGCTCTCCAGTTTCCTCTAGATATTTGACCACACGTCCAACGTTGTAGTCGATACATTCAACCATCGCAGCGAATACTTCCATCGCTTTGCATGACTTCGCTGTTTCTTCGGCAGTGAGATCGTTCCATTCCATCACTTCATCAGCAACAACGGGATGCGGCTCCACATCTGGAGATATCAACCCGAGATCTTTCAGTCGTTGAAGACGCTGCAAACGAAGCGCATCGGGTCCAGCATCATATACTCCCTTATACTTTGCCACGAATTCTGAGGGAGCTTGTAATGGCCAATGAGGAGCCGTGAAAGGGAAGTAACCAAAAAAGGGTCTCTCATCTTTCTTTTCATTTTTCTCTTTTAAATATTCGAGCATCTTATCTCCATACCCATTACTTGAGTACCAATCCTCGGGTAACTTCTTAACATATTCTCCATCCTCACTGTGGAGAGCTATAAAGCTCATAGTCATAAACTCGGGGATTTGGTCGGGGGCATGGAGTTGAGGTTCGTAGCCATAGTGATTACTGCAGGCGGGGAGATGAGCAAAACTTCGCTCAAATCCACGAGCTTTTGGGGAACGCTCGGGGGTTAGACCGAGGTGCCATTTTCCAGCCATCTGAGTGGATTAGCTTAATGTTAGGTAGCATATTATCATGATGGTGATTATCACGAAGAGAGAAAAGGGAAACCAGATATACCAAAGTTAGATATCCATCATCTCTTAAAATTTCCGGTAACGTAGCAACATTCTCATTCAAGTACCCTTCATACCCTGGCATACCCCTCTGCGGCGCTGTCGACATCTTCCCACTCGGATCATTTTGTCCGGAAATATTGGTCCACTCGATTAAATTTCCAAGGCCGGCAATATGATGATCGGTACCTGTCATGATCATTGCTCGTGATGGAGAACATGCAGCTGCAGCATGGAAATCCGTAAAGCGGATTCCGGCCTGTGCTATTTTGTCAATGTTTGGAGTGTTAATTTCCCCTCCGAAACACGAGAGATCCGAGAATCCCAAGTCATCGGCGACAATTATGAGAAAGTTGGGACGTTTTGGAGAGGACATTATTGTTCGAGGATAGAGTGAGGCTCAAGTCCGGTATGACGTTTGTAGCTTGATGCCGAGAAGGGCAAAGACAAGAGAGTGATGAAGAGGATATGACACGACTTTGATATCGAATCCGTCTGCTTTTCAACCATGGAGATTTTACCTACCTCGAATGAACTCACATAATTGTACTCACAAAAGATCAGATGATGTTCCTTCTGTTGACCAAGTGTCAAAGCATTAGCGGCATGCTCGTCGCGTTGCACTCCACAAGTATTCGTAAGAGAGTGGACTGAGTACCTCGATGAATGCTCCATGATTGGAGCAGAAGACCAAATATATTCATAGATAGATTGAACGTCAATACATATGCAGTAGTTTCAATCTCAGATGATGTTGCAGTCTTCGGAAGTATAATTCCATAATCACTGACCACAAAAGTGGAGCATAATCTATTTTCATCCAATCATATAGATATCAGACAACACCAATGTACCCCGCACGAAATGGATTGCGCGGTCCAGTGAAATAGATCACTCCCCTTGTCGCTCTTCCCCATACTATGCTGCCTTCATCGAATTGGATATGCCTGTCAAGACGTGATTAATGCTTGTGATGACCACATGAGATACGCATACGATAAGCAGAATGCTGGAAATGATTGATATCAACTTCGATTATATACAACTAGATGAAAGTCCCGAAGATCTAGCATTGTGACGTGGAATATCTAGATCTTGTCTTATTTCTGACCAAGGTAGGCATTATGAAGAATTCAATACTTGGCAAAGTACGAGCGTACTGGCTAGCAAGTGTAGTTTGTATGGGAGGATTTCTATTTGGTTATGATAGTGGCATGTGTGTATCCCTTCATTTCGTACTCACCTGCTTGTGTGTTTGCTCTATTGTTTGATTTACTAACAGTCATATAGTGTTGGTAAGTACATCGTGATAAAGCCAACACAGTAGTATAAGTACGGAATTTTAACGATGAATAGGTGGAGTCTTGACTCTCAAATCTTTCGTAAATGATTTCAAATATTCGACCGCTCATGCAACTCGCGTGAGTTCTCTTGCGGTTGGCCTGCAGCAAGCGGGTGCTTTTGTAGCATGTTTCTTCATATGGCCCATTGCGGATCGCATCGGGCGCAAATGATCGTTGCAGATCGCTTCGTTTATTTTCATTATTGGTGCCATAATGGAGACTGTCAATTCTCATAGTATGGCAGTATTTTATGCTGGGAGAGTTATCGCTGGCGTAGGTCTTGGGGCCGCAAGTGTGGTTGTTCCAATGTTCAATGCGGAGATGGCACCGAAGGAATTGCGAGGACAGATTGGGAGCTTTTTTCAATGGTTTTACACTTTTGGTTAGTCTAGGCATAGTGAAGAAGAAATACTCGGATAGGATTTAACATTGACATAGGAATTTTTACTTCCTATTGGGTTGACTACGCCATGGCTGAAGTAGTCCCTTCTGTGTCCAGACAATGGCAGATTCCTATCGGTCTCCAGATTATCCCAGCTGGTCTTCTTGGTTTGGGAATGTTTACTTTGAAGGAAAGTACTCGTTGGCTTACCAAGAAAGGAAGACACGACGAGGCTTGGGAAAGTTTGAAGTGGATTCGAGCAGATGAATCGCAAGCTACGATTGAAGAGATGGAAGAAATTCGTGTAGGCGTCGAAATGGAACAGCGAGCTACCGAAGGATTTCAAGTGAGGGGTATGTTTCTTCGCTTTCTTGAAAAAGTGAAGTAAATGCTAATGCTTCATAGAACTTGTTGAAAGGGATAACTTCAATCGTATTTTCACAGCATTCGCCATCTTTACAGCTCAACAAGCTACAGGTGCAACAGCTTTTGCCTGTTACGGGCCGCAATATTTCAAGCTGCTCGTCGGCGGTGGAAATCGGGATTTACTACTGACTGCCATCTTCGGTGCAATCAAAATTGTAGCGTGTGGAGTCTTTGTACTCTTCCTTTCCAATCGCATTGGTCGTCGAGCAGCTTTGATTGGTGGAGCAGTATTTATGAGTGCATGTCAAATTACAACTGCAGTCGTGGTCAAAGAACTTCCAGCTACAAAGACTGCTGGTGTCACAAGTAGTGGAATTGCGACAGTAGCTCTCATATACATGTTTGTGATTGCATACAATCTTTCATGGGGACCACTACCGTGGCCATATGTATCTGAGTGAGAACTTTCTATCTGTGCATTCATGTCCTTCAATTTTGCTAACTTCTGATGTAGAATCTTTCCAACGAGAATCAGAGGACCAGGTATCGCAATTGGAGTGTCATCTCAATGGCTTTTCAACTTTGTGTTTTCTTTAACGACTCCGTACATGATCGAGAACCTTGGATGGTAAGTAAAATACACATAAACACTCGAATCCATATTTTGCGGAGAAAACTAACACACAGCTAGGGGTACATTCCTACTCTGGGGTCTGTTCGATGGCATAATTGCAGTTATATCATTCTTTTTCTTGCGCGAAACTCAAGGATTGAGTCTGGAAGAGATAGCGCATAATGATTATGGACGAGCAACAACTTTCAAAGAGGACGATATCTTGGTTCAACATGGCCCGACGACAACTTACGGATCGGCGACTAAATGAGAGGACAGCAAATCCATCATACCAATGATAAATGGGAATGTAGATGATTTCAGAATGCGATATAAAAGTCTCATTGAGTTTAGTTGCACAGAATAGCATCACTTTAGGCTTATTTAATTCAAGGCTACAACATCAAAGACATGATGAAGTACCTAATCAAGCCATTTTCAATGATTGTTTGTGAATTTTAGTCCAATTTATGCTCCCCTCTTCTCAAACCCAATTAGACAACTATAGAAATTTACCAGCTAGTAAACCCAGTCACAACTCTATAACGGTTATTGCTGATCCTGAAAAGAACTAGACACTTGAAGGCCAACAAAGGCCCGTGCTGTGTCGCTAACCCCCTTATCTAGCGCTCCAATCAAAACAAGGAAAGCGACCTCTACATTCTGGAATGACAATTGAGCGCACTGGATAAAGTCGCAGCATACATACTTTGTTGCCTGCATAATGTACCATTTCGTCCACTCATTTTGTTTCTCGTAGATTGCGTATCTTTATGCTAACATGCTGCTTTCAGATTCTTTGTATGCCTGTGATGTTTTCCCTCTCAAATAGCATGGACTAGATGCCGTGTTGATGATGCCAACACAGCGAATATACATGCTTCCATCCATTATTCATCCGCAGACTCCAGTCTTGAGCTTTTTTTGGTGTTGCAGATCGTGCTGCAGTATATTTCTGCATCATTTCACATCTGTGAACCTATCATTCAAATCAATTAGCACTTGGACGTAATATCTACCTCGTATATGATGGAACTGCAACAAACCCCATACTTCTTGCTGTACTATTTGGCCTTTCTCTTACATGCATTCCTTCCTATCGTTTGGGACATTTCAAATCCTGGTTCGCGCTTTTTGATCCTGTCCGTCTCATCTACCACTCTCGCGTGAGAGATTAAAGACCATCTCTGCTATACTGATTCCTCTTCCCGTATTATAACATGTGCGGCCGTGGTTTGACGATATATTTCGAATCACTGCTCTGAAGTTCAGATTTGGCAGTTCAGTTAATCTCCAGCTGGCTGTACAACAGGGGAACATACGGGAGGGCTCGCTTCGCACTAACGCAGAAAATATAGCATTCTGAAGCGAATCTTATGACGAAGAGGATTGCCGTTGATAGGGGGGAGGAAAAAAGAGTGACTATAATAATCAAATATACAATCTGAATCGCAGAGTTATCGAGATGGGTACGAAGGCTAGAGAAAAATGACTTCGAAAGTTTTCGTAGTGTCGATAGTCCGCGAGGTATCTGCATATTTCTAACAAGAAGTCGGATAGAAGTGAGTTAACAAATTGTAATTATACGAGGGTGTGAGGTAGGGTAATCGATCGAGGATCTGCCTCTCGTCATGCATGCGCAGGCATTACCCGTCGCATTTCGCATTCATTCGTAGTTCTAGCTTCCTTTGTGCCCCATAATATGTTCTTTCGATATCTGTCATCACGTTCTTCATGCTGCTGCAGCCCTTGTGTCTTTGGCAAGTCGTAATATGCTCTGAGAGGATGGTCTAGGAGAACTGGAATAAAAAAGGGAACCTGCCAACATTAGATGAGCTAGGAGAAAATCTCAGTTCATGAGAGTGAGTGTGCGACATGATAAGTATGGTCTCTCTTCAGAATTGAATTGATATACTAACTGATCAACTTAGACTCGTGTTGCCCCTCTCTTTATCTTCTTCTGCCCGGATCTATCTTTTCTCTGCTATCTAATCTAACTTTGTCGCACATGCTCTCTATCTTTCCATCGTCGTCTATCAATTCGTTTATCTTTTGATTCGTATGTTCCCGCTGATACATAGATGCTTTCTTTGTATGTTCGTAAAGAGCGCTTGATTGAGGTTGCCAATGAACTGAATGTCTGTCAATAGAATGTCAATCTGCATTAATATCTCGCGTAATCTATGAAGGGATGAGTCTTGGCTATGATCTATGGCAGAAAAGTATAGCAATGTGTTCAGGATTCGCATAAGGTAGTCAGTAGGTAGAAGAAAGGTAGAAGGATGCCACAAATGGAAGCAGAGGAATACCTGCGCTGGGGCAGACAAGGCAGGCCGCGTTAATTGGAAAATCCCAAGAATCGCAACTAACAACCACATGGGTACCTCTCGAGTAGATATTCAACAACTCTACTTGTATCTAAATGGATAGATCTCAGTCAAGTTCCAACCACTCCTTGGGGACTGGCTCGAGTCCAAGTATGAGAAATCATGTGCCATATATAAATAAACTTGTACTGTCAACAAAACCGTAAACCTCGAGGCGCGCGGGCCAAAAAAAACCGTAACAAACATCTCTGCCATACATCCTCCCTGGCTTCAATGTTCGAACGGTCTCACTAGCAACAATACATCGCGCTAGTGATTGAAGCATTAACAAGTTCAAGACCCTCCTTAGATATAAGCTTCTCAACGTGCGACCTGTGAAAAAAAAAATTAACACATACTTTTGGATATCTCAAGTACTTTCTAACAAGATAAGAACTCTTCACTTTGACTACTTCTAGTCTCTTCAACTTAACATCCAAACCTACTACCTTCAGCAAGACTTGCCTTTCTTCTCAACTCCTCTCAGCCCTACGAGTCTTTCCCCGCAAAGTAACCACCGAATTCGCGAAGAAATACGTTGAACCTATTCTCATCAACAAAAATTCTGGGTGAATACTAGACGTTTTCCACCAGTTACATCACTCGCATTTTTTGTGAGGAAGAAGTTCGCAACTGCAACCAAAAATCTCTCGAAGGTTAGAACATTCTCATACTTTACTCATATCCTCTGGAGATATCATCAAGTCTGCTTCATGAATGGAAAGCTAACCTTTTCGATGTAGTGAGATACTGAGATAGTATTTCCCACATCTATCATCCGTATTTTTAATTAACTTCACAAACACCAGTAAGATAAACATCCAATATTCCAATTCTATCAATCCTTCGAACCTGGGCTGACAATCAAAAGAGAGATAGACAAGATGCCTAAAGACAGCCAACACATCGTCTTTCTCAACAACTACTACAACAGTCTCGTCAATCCCGACATTTTGACGGAGCCAACTAAACAGACTGCGATTCGATGCAACGCAGCACACATCCCACCAACAACTCCAGGTGTTGATGGTGTCGATTCGCAGATTGTCGGAAGGTATGAGTTAACTCTTATTCTCAGGATTAGTCATGAAGCTAACATACACACAGACATATCAGCGAATGTCGAAGACGCGCTCGTAATCAACCTCGAGCCGAACGCAACCAGGCGTGGCAAGTAGACATTCTCGAAGTAGCCTACCGCCAGAGTCATTATCCATCCGCAGGACAGCGGATGATATTGATGTCACAAACCAATTTGAGTTACAGGAAGATCAAGAATTGGTTCGAACAAAAGGCGAAGATGCTGAGGAAAGCAGGCGGAGGTCCTGTCGTTCCACATCCCGGCAGCAATAAATACTCAACCAAGATGTGGAGGGAATATTTTGCAGATCCTGTTGGATATGTTCAGAAGTTGAGGAACGGCGAGATCGACTTGGTGACTGGTGAGGCTATTGGTCAAGCGGTAAACAACTTACCTAATGCACCGGCAAATGGCCCCACAAATAACATGAGCGGTAATCCTGATCTAGGAGCCTTGGCACCTAACTCGAACATTGGTCCCGCGCCTTCTCATCAACCTGAACATCAACATGGTCAAGGTGAACTTCCTGAGATGCAACTACAGGGGTACAATCAAATGAGCCAACATGGGCAATACGACAACTCGAGTGTGCAGGCACCTCCGCAAAGCCAGGTGCCTCAACAAGCACAATATGGGCCCCAGCCAATGTCCATATATACTCAGGCCCAAGATCTGATGTACACCATGCCGTCAGCCCAGTCCATGAACTCGGGCATCAGTAGTTACGCAGCGGGGCGAAGCTACGAAGTGAGTAGAGCTCAACCGGCACCTCAACAGACAGCTCATCCAGGAGCATATACCACCGACACCATCTCTCAAGGTGCAGCACCCGCGGTATTCGATGGCATTAAGCAAGCCGTCACAGACCAATACAGCCATGGCATGCCTGCAAATTTCCAATCCGGCATTACATACGATCCGTTCGCCGACCAGGACGATGAAGAACTTGAGTATGAGGGTCAAAATGGACCTTTTTATCCGCCTGTTCCTCAACATCATGCGAGGCAATATATCCCAGCATATCCTCAAGTCCCAGAGAGTCCGGTTGGACAATTGCTTGGTGGGACTTTCACCCAGTCTGAAGGACCTACTCGAAAGAGAAAGTCGGCCCCCGAGGACGACCAATTAAATCAGGGCCCGTATTCCATTCATTTGAGAAAGCGACCTCGTCAAACCTCCGATTCTCGATCTTTTGCTCCATCAACAACAGGAAACTTTGCTGGAGCTGCAGGTAAAATGGAAGATACCAGAGAGCCAGCTAAGAGATCAAATCCTTTGAGACCGGTTCAAAAGACTCGTCGACGACCAGTGGCTGGCCAGTTCCCGAATCGAAAAATTTCCTGGAATGGGACTGATGACTCCATGAATTCATCGTTCGACCGCACTGGCGCAAAATGGTCTCCTCATCCACCCTCAAGGCTAAATATCTGCCATAGCAGTCCTTCTGAGGAAGATAAAGCTGAAATAGGAGCGACAGTAAGTTTAATCAGTTCTTTCATTTGACACCATTGCACTCCTTTCATTCTCCTGTACCCTCCCACTTCTTTGTACATCTCTGGGTTCCTCAACTTTTTTGCAAGTGTTTTCTGATAGACAATTTACTGACCTTTGAATTTTGCAGTCTCCTAATATCCGAACTCCCAACATCCGAACTCCTGAAGTCCGAGACGTGGACTCCGAAGCACAACATCTCGACCCTCTATTTTTCGGTTCTAGGCAAGACGTTCGCAACAATGGGATGGAACAAAGTTCTGGACAGTTGCCTGCCCCCTTCAAGCCACCTATGCCAGAAAGTGCGAAAAACATGGCGCAGGGCGTAGTGGTTACCCAACACCATGCCACGACCAACAGCGCAGATCCTGCAGCAGCACAAGATAATGCAGCTCGCCACCTAGGCGCTTCTAGTCCCAGAACTCAAAATATATCTGGTAGCCTAGACGGAAATTGGGAAGCAGATTTGGAAGTCCAAGGGTTCCAACAACAACAAGATTCTGCCTTCCCACAAGGAGAAGCTCAGGAGATTGAGTCGTCAGCTCAGATACCTACAGAGGGCAACGAAAGCCTCGAGGACATGCTTGCTGTGCCAGACATGAATGCCCTAGAGCAGGCATTTCTGTACAACGGGGAGTTTGACTACTCGGCTTTCCTGGGCAACGACGGCCTTTTCGAGGATTGGGATCCACCCAATCTCGATGGTGACAATTGATCTCAGCAAGGTGGACCTGGGAATAATCACTGCTAAAAGATGGGAACACCGTGATTCTATTAGATTGAAAATATGATTCATGGAGGAAGGACTGGCAAGCAAGCAAAGGACGGCACTGTTTCAAGGCTTGGGACAAATTGGAAGATACCCGGCGCTTGTTGTCTGTTTGAATTGGGCTATTAAACTATGGAGAATGCCACGGATCTTGTAGAATCTACCATGATCTGTCTGCGATGTACCTGCAAAATTTACACAAATCACAAATCATAAATGCATTTTGTTTAGAATTAGAAAAAATTCTATCAACTGTGATATCTGTTTGACCCTGACTTTCAACTGTATATATATATTGGACTTCTATGTGCCTGAACCTCAAAATAACATCAACAGAAGTGCAACAACTTCTGATTTCCTCGAAGGCTAGCCTGACTTTTGTTCGATGGATGAATGGTAAGAACCGAGACAAGTCTGCGGATGACATATAGCAACCGGTATTGATAGTCGTAGAATCATCTGTGAAGGGAAAACTATCGATGCGAAGCTCGCAGTCAGTTCTGTCTCATAGATGTTAAACGTAGTTTCGGCCAATACGCAAGAACAATCAGGAACTAATTCTTCCGTATTGACCAGATTTGCAAACCTTTGAATCTCCATCTTAGTGCTCCAACTCAGACTCCCAATCTTGAAATTGATGCGATTGTTGTGGTCCGCGGCTTTGCGCCTTTTTTTTGAGTGGTCGAAATTTCGAGATTGCACCCCGTTACGGGCGGAGATGCCTTGGCAACCCAATTTGATAAGCACTAGGCATTAGACAAATTAGGCGAAATGGAGATTAACGATTTCATCATCAAATATTCATCGCGTCTCAATACGCTCCTCTATTTTACCACCCACTTCTAAAGAAACACACACAACTTCAATAATTTGATTTCTGTATCTTGATTAACTATAATCACATCCTTACACGGAATCTTTCAGAACAAAATCGAGGTAGAAGAAAGATTAGACAAATAAATTCACCAAGTCAACTTGATTAAACCAGGATAACTTGATACAACCGGGGTTAAGAAATTCTATCGCGATCAGAAAATTTGCTCACGCGCTCAACAACCTTTCACAAAATATCAGTTGCGCGGAATTTCAAGTAAACACCCTACAAGAACAGTAGAAGGCGAGTAACTTTTCATCCTTCAAAGAATTAATGTGGGGTTCATCAGATCTGACGTTGGACGAAGGACTAGGCTTTATCAACAACAACAACCCACTGCATCTCCGTCGATTATTTAGATCGATTCTCAGACTACTTCTCGACCACATTAAGATCTTAGATAGCTATCAAGTGCTCAATTTATATTCAAAATGCCTAAGCCTCAGAGACACGCGGATTGGCTCAACAATTATTTCAACATTAACAATGTCAATGGAGACCTAAAGTTGACAAGCAGAGAGATTGCAGATTTATGCAATAAACAACTTAAGACGGAGGCCTGGACTAAGGGACCACCCCCAAAAAATCGGCGAATAATGACCAATGGCGTTGACGCGCAGACAGTAGGACGGTGAGACTTGCCTTGCTTTTTACTGTGTTCTAGAAATCGAAATCGATGTTGGTAGCTAATTTATAAATGTAGACATATGCAGGAGCTCAAAAAGAAGAAAGCCGGAAAGCCGCGAGCCACACGTCGCACTCAAAGCGCGATTAATAGGATCGATAGTGTCCTTGCGAAGAGAGATGGACGTCTATGGACAGGCGATAGAATGCTTCTGGCGAAGTTGAACCAAACCAAACCGGAAAACATCAAAAATTATGTTGAAGAAAAGGTCAGACAAGAAGGCAGGAGGGCGAAAGAAGCTGGTGGACAAGTACTCCAAGATTGGGAGGCCCGAAAACGCTCGAGGGTAGCCTCGAACAAATATGCTAACAAGATGTGGGCAGAGTATAATAAACCTGGAAAGGAGGACGAGTATTTGCAAAAGCTAGAAAATGGCCTGATCAGTCTCAAGACAGGCGAAGCTATCACAGCAAACTCAAGAAACCACCCAGGATCATCTTTAAATCCCGCCAATGGATACAACCTAAGCACAAATGATGGTGAAGGTGACGACGAAGCTATCGATGCAGATGCCAGCGATGCTATCGTAGACGACGACTATCCGATGGGTAATGTCATCGGAAACGAGTCTGAATCTCAGACTGGATACGACTTCGTGGCTGATTCACCAGAGTACCCTGACCACATCAATGATCTCCCTCAATCCCAGACGCAGGTTGATATTGGTGTCAACAATAAAAAATTGAACCTGACTGATGGCAATGCTGAGAACTCTGCGTCGCAGATGGATTTCGAACAAAATTACTCCAATGCGAATAGGAACCCAGTATTCAATAATGCAGACATCGGCGTACCTAATCCGAGAACAAATGTTTTCGAGTATCCGGCCTCGAGCTCCGGCATCCGGGCGATGACGCAAGACAAGGGTCCTATGCTGGCAACCATGCAACCATACAGGGACAATACCCCCTCGAGACATATGCACATGAGCTTTGCACCAAGTCCTCAGGTTCAACCAAGCAGATATACCGGCGAACCTGTGAGACGAAGACAAAATGAGAGATGTCATGTTGGCCCTCGTAAGGAAGAAGATATGAGAGCCTGTCATGTAGGCTATCAAGTCCATAAGAACCAACACAGAAATCAGGACGCGCCTCAAATGTTGTCCAATGCTCAGTTAAAGAAGAGAAAACAACCTCTGTTTGAGCAGGGAGTACTTGAAGTCGGACCATTGAAGAGACAATGCCAATCTGGAGAATTTTTTATGTCAGAAAGACAACCCGAGTCTGAACAGCATCTCTCGCTCGAACAGCAGCATAATGGACTCGACGTCGAAGAGAGGGATGTCGAAGAAAGTCTTGATCCAAATTCAGACGTTGGAACCAACTTCAGTAAGACCATCGGTAGAGGAATCGTTGGAGAGCCCAAAAAATTGCACGAACGTGATATGCGTGTACTCTCTGCGTCTACTGTGAGACCTCGCAATCATGAAAATATCGATCAGGAAAGAGAGGCAGGCTACTGGGACATCGTCGCGTACCCCGAAAGCGGGCTTCGGACTGAACACGTCTTCAGTAGACAGAGTCGAGAAAGCGGTCATTTGAATCGTCGGTCTGGCGATAAGCCCGAAAATGCAATCGTCATCCTCGAGAATTGCGAAGAGGTCAGAACTGTCGAGCCAAGCCAAGGCGCAAGTAATCGAATCAGTGTTGACGCGAGACAGCCCGTCAACACAGATAGAAAGCATGGCTATGTCGAGAGTGCCTCGAGTCCTAAAGGTTATGCCAACATTTGGTATTCCCAGGGTAGGATTCGAACATTTGAACAGCCAAGTAAAAGTCCTTGGCAGGCTTACCACCATTTCGATGGCATTTCAACTGCCATTTCTATGCAACCAACGCGAAGAAAGTCTAAGGCGTTCGCTTCGCATTAACGAAGTCAGTTCCAACAATGTCCTTCATTTGGACACATACATCGCCGGTTGTTAAAAGTACTTGAATTCTCTAATTGATGCAATTTTCTCTGGCACGAATAAGATAGCTAAAGAGGGTGATAAGCCCAATAAAAGACTATATCACTGTACCTAGTACTCCGTCTAGCTTTCTGACGACGACTGAAATACGACCAAACTCTCCAGCAAACTCACAAACCCACAAACCCACAAAATCGATCCATATTTCTTATTTCCTTTCCTCTTGCATGGCTAGAAGAATCACAAAACCTGCCTTGAGAGCTTATTCAGAGATTCTCCACTCGACTTAAGAATCTGAGAACAGCACTCATTTGGACCCAAATTCTGCGACCATTGTCAGCGCCATCAAACCCGCATTTTTGTCTCTTTTCCACTCACTCAAAACCGACTTTGTGGAACTGGATAAACAATATTGAAATTGGAAGGCACAGATGTATTCGACCCTATTGAGGAAGGTGTCAAGCGTTGATTTAGGAGGAAATGTCGACCTCCCAAACTGTATTGAGTTCCGCAATTGTCGGAGACTCTGCCAGATGCTTTGTGGGCTTCCCGCATATTCTTCAAGGTTTCCTTGTGTGTTCCATAGCTCCACTATGTGCCCCCTCATATTGTGCCATACTTCTTATGCCGTACTTCCAAGTATGATTTTCGATGACAGTGCGGGTGCCTGTTTTGCGTTCCGGCGGATTGTGAATGGTAGTAAAGTACACAAAGATTGCCCATTGGGTTTTGTGTATGTCGTATTCTGGGTCGTCTTTTGGGCCGGATTTTGGGCGGAGATAAAAAGTTGAGCGCAAAAAGACTAACAAGGTCCTCGATATTGAGAGTTGGAGTGTCGGACAAAGCCTTTGTTTGTCGTCTTTGTGGTGACAACGGTGGTCTGAAGTCTATACAATCGCCATATAGAAATGGAGAATGTAACAAAGGACGTAACGACAAAGAAAATAAATATAAAAATAAGAATGATTTTTTAAAAATGTTTTGAGGTTTATTTTAGTTAAATGAGTATTATAACGCTATAAGATACTTGAAATATCTAAAAAAAAGTTGATTTTGACTCGTTATATAATCGAAATCAAATAGTTAGAGGATTTCGAAATCGAAATCCTTGATTGTGTAATCGGACTCGCCTAGGAACTTCTTATTAATAAGTTAGAAAGACACCTAATAGTTTATCCGAATTCTAGTACGAGATTTCTATATACAGTAGCTATTAACTTTTAGTATAGATAAGACTTTCAGTTAGAGATTATTAATAACTATGTATTATATCTATCTATTAACTTATAATGAGCTCATTTTATACGATATAATATATCTATATGAAGAGAATAATAGATAAGGTATTTCTGTTAATGAAACTAAGTATCTAGGTAGTTAATATTAGTAGAACTATTACTTCGATAGAATTCTACTATACTAAACTCAAAATAGTAAAGAATTTCAACGAGCATTAATGAGGTCTAGTTTGAATAAAGTATTTTCACAAGAGATTCACGAGATCTAGTTCGAGAAGTTTCTCGCGCGTTTGATAGTAATATTAGCGGTGAGATTTATTTAGCTTGGTCTTTTTATTGTGCTATTTCTTAGCAAATTTTCTTTCAGAAGTCTGATTATTTCGAGGCCTATCAGAGATAGTACGTTATTTTAGACATTTAAATCTTTGATATATTCATCGACTACTAATATAGAACTAACAAGTGTAACTATATGAGCTCCCGAAGCTGTTTTATAACTATTAGTCTTAATGACTGCTATCTGAAACCTAGGTAGTACTAGATACCTTCGACTGAGCCATATAGATCTTCTAGAACTTGATCAAATAGATCTCAACGTCTAGAGCTTTTCGCCAAGATAGTTTTTTTTTCTTGAAAAAAAAAACCTATTATTAGATTTCGTTTTGAGATTGTGAGCACGTCAGCTGTCAATTCATATTCAATCAAGTCTTGTACAGAACTAGAACTGAAATTAGCGCCCGAGCTAAAGGACTAATGTCTCGCTTGTGAATACAGCAATACAGCCCTATCCCGACACATGACTGTAATGAAATTAGCTTTCTAAGATTTCGGTAGTATTCCATCGTCTAATTCAAAAGTACAGGTTGGCTTTAGGATAAGAATTGCGACATAAATACTTTAATAAGGCCTCTGACGATTGAATCGCATTAATCGGTGGTAGCAAGTAGGGAGACTTCGATATTACGCGATACTCTGAAAAATATGATGGTTGGATCTACAGATAATTGTCATCCAAGTATATATATACTGTGATATAATCTATAACCCGTAGTTGCACAAAGTTTACACGTCTTCTTTCGCGTCCCTAGCAACTCCTAGTTTCTTTAACATTCCAATCTTCCCAATATTCCTGAGCCCAATTATAGTCATAGCCAATGATGCTGCCATACAACCTACGCAGAACCATTCCACAGCCCTCAATCCCGCCAAGAATGCTAACGTCTCGGTCGCCCCTTTGTTCAACTCCTTTGACTGAACAGATTGCTGAATCGCTGATGTAATAGGTAGTGGCATAGATCGCCCAATGGCTGCCATAGTCTGAAACATAGCTCCTGCAACTGATTGATCCTTTCGAGGAAGCGATTGGGTTGTGAATAGACCAAGGCATGGATAGACTGTATCAGCGCCGAATGCTGCAAGTGACATTGCTGGTAATCCGAAAGCGAAGTATGATGTGCTGGGAGGTATTGGTACGGCAAACAGAAGATTAGCAATCATGGCAGAGCCAAGACCAAAACTGAGAATGTAATCGCCATTGATTCGAGCGAGTAAGTATCCGGATCCGAAGGTGGTAAGAACTGTAAAGTTATCAAAAGTTAGAATTACCTCTTGAAAAAGAAGATCTGCAGAACTTACTACCAACTACTCCCAGTGGAATGTACCGAAGTGCAGTTTGTAAAGGATCAAGAAGTTTAAAGTCTTGGTAGCTGAATCCAAATTAGCCCCTGAAATTGCGCAATTGGGGGTGAATTAGGACATACTAGTAAGTTGTGTAGAGACAAAAGTTCGTAAAGCCGGACGAGAATAAAGTGATGATAATCATAGCAATCGAGAATTGCTTATGACGAAACGTAGATATTTTCATCAAAGGTTCCTTTGTGGTTTTGGTCTCCCGATAGTGTTCCCATAGAACGAATCCTATTAGTAAACAGCCGGATACGACTATTATCGCAATGACTGAAGCTTCCTGCCATCCAGACGAGCCTCCCTGAGATAAGCCTACGAGTAGTAACAGTAGCCCAGAAGTGAATAGGAAAGCTCCAATCCAATCTACCCCCGAAGCGCGCGCTGTATCTTCTTCATTACCTTTAGGTGGCTCCTTTGGAACCACAAAAATCGCACTCACAGCAATAGTAAGTGAAGCACCAGCTATCACAAAGAAGACAACTTTCCAACTCGCCCATTGAGAGATGATCCCACCCTAAATGATAAATTAGCTCTGCCAGTGCATTTCCAACAATAGAGAATACACACCATGAGATTGCCAAGGACTTGGCCCATTGGTGCTCCGCCAGAGTAAAATGCGAAGCTATAGTTTTTCACTCGACCAGGTGGGATGGTATGCCCTATAATGCCAATCGCTGTAGGAATAGTGATAGCCGATGCGAGTCCGTGCAAAGCCCGCATCACATACAAACAAATCTCAACGGGCGAAAAGGCCGTCGCTATACAAGTTGCAGACGTGAAAAGTGCACCTAGGATAAATAGCAGTTTTCTGCCATACACATCTCCCAGCTTGCCCCACAGGAGTAAGAACGAGCCAGAAGTCAATGCATAAGAAGATAGCACCCATTGTTGCCGAGTTTGAGGAATATCAAGATCTCGAGAGATTTCAGGTAAGATAATGATGACAGCCTGAGCAGCGATTGTCTGGGAAACATTAGATTTCCTCTCAACAATCCATGAATTTGGTACTTACAACAAGAAACGTTGCCCCTGTTAAGACGATGACCATAGGGGCTACTTGTCGTATCGTCACTTCCTTTTCCGAAAATCGAGTTTCGACCTTCACAACTACCGGCTCATTTGCCGCCTCCTCCAGCATACCCTTCTCAAGTACAACATCCTCAATGGAGAATCTCTGAGGCCCATCGCCATTAATCTGTGATGTATTATCACTTGGAGATATACTTTGCGCCATATCTCATGAACAATGAGTAGGATCATATATTGAAGAGAAGTGGCGGTGATAAGCTACATTATAAATACACTTCTACCCATCTCCCTTGCAAGCACACCACCAGCCCGGCCACTACTTTCACCCCACTTCTGCGCTGCGTCGTATCCCATCAATTGACGACAAAACCTTAAAATTGCCTAAATATTGGTTTGTCAGAGCGCTTGTTCCCTAAAATGGAAACTACTGTGACCAGGAGGAGCGGAAGCGGAAGCGGTAAATACTATGATGGTATTTCTTCTTCACCTGGAACTATCATCTCTGGTCGGTGTTCACGATAAAGCCATGCGTTTGTCATGAAATGCGACGTTTAGATAAGAATTCTACAATAACGGCAATGGAAAAATGGGAGAGATTGTTGGAGATTTCGCGCCGCTTTAACATGTTAGCGATCACCGTTGGATGACAAAGCAAAACAGTGCTGCCACCAGTGCATATTTCTCAAAATTTGTTTCTTCAAACTCTCAACAAAGATTTAATATATGACATGTGATGTGGTCTTCTCCCTCTAGATCATCTTTCCGATCCTTAAGAAAAACTTTTATAAATCTCCGCTTCAATAGATGCGCTTCAGATTCCCGAAGATTTATTGCTACAATGGGAGAAAGGACCTATGATGTTCGTTTTGTCAAAACATTGCTACATACATGACTTCTTTTCTCACCATCAATTAGGATGCTATCAACGCCTTGAATACACTTCAAACACCATACGAAGTTCTCAAGAAACGATGGGAAGCTGGGATCAAACTCGATGAAGGAGCTAATCGGGAAATGAAACAACATCTGACTCGAATTGGATATACCGTATTCTTCAACCTCCCTTTCTATTTTGCTGTCGCTGACTCACGTCCAGCAAGATGATCTCGAACGATTGAATATTGTTCATGTTGCCGGTACCAAAGGTAAAGGGTCTACGTGCGCCTATGTTGACTCTATATTGAATCGGTATAGAAAGTCACATGATCTTCCCCAAAAGGTTGGACTTTTCACATCACCCCATCTCATCGCTGTCCGGGAAAGAATTCGAATCAATTCAGCACCTATATCTGCTCCTATGTTTGCAAAATACTTCTTTGAAGTTTGGGATCGTCTGGATGCAGCTGCAGCGTCCTCGAGCGAACCGTTTGAGAAGCCTGTCTATTTCAGATACCTGAATTTGATGTCTTATCACGTTTTCCTCCAGGAAGGTGTCGATACTGCCATCTATGAAGTTGGAGTTGGAGGCGAATACGATTCGACGAATATTGTGGATCGACCTGCGGTGACGGGTATATCATCATTAGGGATTGATCATGTGTTTACACTAGGAGACACGATTGATAAAATTGCATGGCATAAAGCTGGAATTCAGAAGGCAGGAGTGCCATCATTTACAGTGAATCAAAAGCCAGAAGCGATGGAAGTAGTAGAGAAGAGGGCTGTGGAAAAGGGAGTGAAGTCTTTCAAAGTAGTCGATTTAGATCCAAGACTGACGACGGTGAAAATAAAACCGGCTGCAGATTTTCAGAGGGGGAACGCGAGTCTTGCCATTTGTCTAGCTGAAACAATTTTAAAGAAACTGGACCCCAAATTCAGTACATCCTCGGATTCTCTACCCCAAGAATTCGTAGACGCTTTGGAGCAAGTAGTCTGGCGTGGAAGATGCGAAACAAAGGTTGATGGAAATGTCACCTGGTATTTGGATGGCGCACATACTGCAGATAGTATCATTGTCGCAGCAAAATGGTTTGGTGATGAGGTCGCAAAGGAGTAAGTTTCATCCATTGATATTGAGTTCATGGAACTGACCTTCTCTAGGCACGGCCCACGAGTTCTGATTTTCAATCAGCAAGGTCATCGTGAAGCAATTGGATTACTTGAAGGACTTCATAGCGCAATCCAAGGATCTGTAAAGTTCGACCATGTAATATTCTGCACAACATCCATCCAAAAAGAAAACGCATCCAAGAAAGGTAATTATTTATCACCAGCGCTACTTAGTACACACTGACGTCATTAGATTTCGTCAACCTTTCCTACGACCCTAAATCGATATCCGAACTCACGATGCAAAAAGCCTTTGCTGAAAAATGGCGCTCGCTTGATTTTAACCTTGAAACTGATGTACAAGTTCTTCCAAGTGTGGAAGATGCATTTGAATACGTGCGAGGTTTGGCCACGGATGACGTACATGCTCAAGCTCTAATTACGGGGAGTGTGCATTTGGTTGGTAGAGCTCTGGGAAGTTTAGAGTCATTGGATGCACTGTAAACAATCAAAGGTGGTGAAATCAAATGGTTAAAATGAAGAGCCGAGCTGTACCTCAACGTTAAAATCTAAAAGGGGAATGCGGAGGAAGGGGAAAGGGATAACGTGATCCACGAATTTGTATGATGTGTACGATATTGCTCAACCAATATATTAATTTAGAAATGTTTTAATTTTCAGGGCATACTGTCTCTAGAACTACCTACGTATAGTTTGCTTTCTCGTTGTGAGCCTACCGTCTATCATTCAATCCACATCAAAAAGTATAGCCAAATACTTCGATGAACATATTAACAATGTCCCGTCATATGAAACATTGAAAACATAGATTTCCCACTGTAAGCACAGTTCTTGTATTTTCTATATCAAGAACGGGTATCAAAACAAACTCCAGTCTTATTCTATTCAGCATTGAGAGAGCTTCTAGATTTTTCGCTCTTTCCTACTTTGTTGTTCAAGAACTTTCATAAGACCACCGACGAGATGCAAACTTCCAGTCACCAGGACGAAAAACCTTTCTTCGTCTTCGGATGCCCTATGCGCAAGCTCTACAGCTTCTTCAATACTTGCATATTCCATACACATTGGATTCCGATCCAAACTCGAATACAGTTTAGACGCCAATTTCTGTTGGGTGAGATCATGGGTCTCTTTTCCACTTGCCTCGCTCTTAAAAGGGATATTGGTACAAAAAGCAGCAAATGTGAACGTTTTGAAATAAATGTTTATACTCGTAAGTAATGTTCGAATAAGAGGGTCTGGATCGCGTTCTTGTTGATTGAATATCAACATGGTTTTTGCTGGGAGAGTTCCCTCCGCGCTAGCTTGGACAAGTTTTGAAGCGTACCAAAGGCCAGTCTCCTTGATACTGTCGACTGTGTGAGCACCATCGATGAGCCATGTGATTTTGCCAGTGACCATAACTTCACATCTACCGGCCCATTTGATTGTCTTCAGACCCTCTAAAAATTTATCTGGAATCGGTTGTTGGAGAGATAGTATCGCAGAAGGAGTAGGCACGTCTTGAATACATAGATCTCGCAAATGTGATGCCGAAACAGCCATTGCCAGACTCGCATTGTCCTTCTGAAACTCTCCTTCGGCGCCTAATATAATAGTTCCATCATCGAACCTCGCACATCGATTTACAACCTCTAATTTGACATCTTTCTCCTTGGCGCGGCTTTCTAGAACAGATTGTGCTTCCTGAAGCTGGGGAACCGTAAAAGATGGAATACCTCGTTTCATGATGCCAGCTTTGTGCCAAGCAATCTTATCAATTGTGTTTCCTAGCATTCCAACGTGATCGATGCCGAGTTTCGTGATCGCAGTGGTAGTGACTGCTTCAGCAGGCAGTATATTGGTGCTATCATATTCCCCTCCAATACCGCATTCCATAATGGCGGTTTCTACCCCTTCCTCCATAAATGTATGTAGTGCCATGATTGTGAGATATCGAAAATACCCTGGCTTGGTCTCAGGGGATGTAGGATTTGGATGCGGGGTAGCAGATGTGGAAGCGGCGTCAGAGAATCGATCCCACAGCTCGAAGAAATACCGCGCAAAGAGGGGTTCGGATATGGGGAGGCCATCTATTCGTATTCTTTCACGTACTGAAATCAGGTGTGGTGAGGTGTACAGCCCAATCTTCCCCAAAGCCTTTCTTTTAGTACCTCCTGGCATGACTCCGATGTCACTTTCTTCGCTGCGATATTGTCGCAGAATATTATCTACCATAGCGCACACACTTCCCTTCCCTTTTGTTCCAGCTACGTGTATACATTTTAGTCCACGTCTCGAGAAATCCTGCGTGTCGTACCCCGCTTTGCGCGTCCATTCGAGCATTTCTGGTATAGCATACAGGTTCATATCTTTTGAGGTACTCGATATGGAGGATACAATCTTTCGATTGGATTGTAAGGTATCCAGGAGTGCGATCGCATCCTGATAGCTACGACCTTTGGAAGCCATACTGCTTGAGAATCGAATGTGAAGTTGGAGACTGCGAATGCGTAGGCAAGGTTCAGCTGCTACATTCCGAAGTGCACGGAGAAACATGAGCAATATTGTTTTCTGGGCATCTGAGTGGTGATTTATTTCGATCCATACTATGGTATTTCGCTCCTATGTGTTGTCAACTGATCATTGTGTTTGTTCGTCATCTACAAATTGTCGCAAACACTGTGTTGATTCATAGGGATTCTAGTGTTTCACCGCTTTGGGCAGAAATATTCTGATGATTGATACGAGGGCTGGTTTTTGATGATTGCCGGGTCTGTGCGCAAGCACTTTTTTACATCAAAACTCACCTATTTTAGAACTCAATATTAAATTAATTGATATCATTATATATTTGAAATTTTGTAGAATAATAAATTTTTATTTAAAATTTAATAATAAAATTTCAGTTTTTATTATAAAGCTTTTAATTAAATCAAAATTTATATTGAGCTTTTTATACTTAAAATTTTTATAAGAAATAATATTATTTTAAAAATCAAATTTCTATATAGAATTTTATTATTAATTCAATTCAAAAATTGATAATTTTGATATTAAATTAATTATTAATTAAATCTTTTTATATTATTCAAATTTTAAAATTTTATAATGAATATTTGAATTATTATATATTTATAAATATATAGAATAAAGCATAATTTTGATGAGGAAATTTGCTTAAATTTCAGTCCGACAATCATCAAAAACACGCCC